TCAAAACAGATCATTGAATTGAGTAGCATGAGTGAGCATTCCGAAGAAGAGATTACGACCAAAGATTTTAACCAGACGGAACTACAGCTGCAACAAATCCTTGATGCTGAACCAATGGCTATGCAGAACTTGACAGAGGAAGATCTGGCTGAAACCGAGGCATCAAATTGGGTTAATTCACATATATTGGAGTTGAGCAACACGTATGGGGTAGCATTTGAAGGATTTGAGAAGGAAACACTTGCACTACTCATGAGAATCAATGGAAGGAAAACAGAGCTTGATAACAAGAAGCAGGGGAAAGCTATTACCACCCCAAAAAGTAGGGGCATAGGTAAGAATGAATTGAAGAAGCTTCAACGTAGTCTTAACAAAGAGGTTGAAGGTGCTAGAAACAGGGGGAGGGTTCTAAATCTGACCTTTAAATGAATATTAAACTGATCACATGGAACGTGAGGGGTCTTAACAACAACACTAATAAGAACCTTTTTTGATAAAGACAACACTAATAAGAACCTGGTTAAGACGTGTTTGCAAAAATGGAAAGCGGATGTGGTTTGCCTACAGGAAACCAAGGTGAATAAGGGGATTGCATATCAACTATGGTCTTGCAGATGGGTGAAACTCGGGTTCATTGAAGCAGATGGAAGCAAGGGGGAGTTACTTCTTATGTGGGACAGTAGAGTATGGACAGGCACTAAGGTGGAGGAAGGGACCTATTCAATCACTTACAAATTTGAGTCTACACATAATTACTTTCCCTGGTATTTCACTGGAGTATATGCCCCACACAGAAGAAACGAAAAGTTAGAGTGTTGGGAAGAGATGGCTGCAATGAAGGAGTTGTGTGGAAGACCGTGGGTCACAGGTGGAGATTTTAACACTGTGAGGCACATGGTGGAAAGAAGGGGGTACAACAGAGTCACAACGTCATGAATGATTTCTCTAGATGGATTGAAGAATTAGAGCTACATGATCCTTGTCTAATAGGAGGAAAATTCACCTGGTTCAGAGGAAGTAACCACCAAAGTGCAGCTGGACCCCATTTGAAAAAGAGAAGGCTCACAACAGTCCATTATTATTTGGATTTAGGCTCAATAGTGTTATGAATGGGCCTAGACCAGTATTGACAAAGCAGCCCAAAGCCGAATTAAAAGGCTATGTGTGGGATCCGGGTTGATAAATAGAGACTTGGGAGAGCAAAATAGGTTTATGCAAATTATGTGAAGCTTTGGCTTTCTGATCCTCTCATCTCCTTTCTATGGTCTAGAATCTCATCCCCTTCTAGTTACCTTCTTCTATGTTATCTATCTACAATTAGTGTGTTGTTACTTTGTTGTGGGTATTATACGTTGTAACTTGTATTCCGTAATAACAATATATATATCAGTGTTTGTGTTGAAAATTGAGTTTGTTACATTGGTGCTTTCATCCAGAGGTTTCTCATGGAGGACCAAAGACTCAAGGCTCTCATCAATGAATCCATTAAGGAGGCGAAAGAGTCATTTTCCAAAGATATTGCAGACATTCGCCATATGTTACAGGAGGTTACCGGAAAGTTCGTTCCGGCAGGGCCTCACATTCGAGATCCAACAATGGAGGTTGCTCGTCCTCATCACGGGAAAGACACTCTTGAAGCCCCCACACTCCGTCATAGGCCAGCTCCGGTGGAACTAGGACGATTTCGTGGTGAAAATCCAGAGGCGTGGATTTTCCAAGCTGAATGCTATTTTGATTTTTACGGAATCGTAGAAACGCACAAGCTAACCTTGGCATCCTTTTATCTCAACGGTGAAGCTTTGGAATGGTATCAATGGTTGTTTTGCAACAAACAACTGGCTGGCTGGGACCATTTTGTGGACAAATTGCTGATTCGTTTTCGCTCCCGTACTAGGGACAAACAACGCGAGTTCTTACCCATTCCCAGAAACAAGAATCATAGGGCAGTGGAGTACTCTCAGGCGGTTAGTCCATCGTTGGTTAATATTGAGACTTTGGGTCCCATGTTGGACTCCAAATATGACTTGAAGAACAACCCAAACGGCTATGCCTGCAAGGTGTTCGCTGAAATGCCCGATAAGAAAATTGACATGGAAGTCGAACATCCAGTGATAACTGATTCAACAAATCTGGCATCCCATATGTTTGATGAAAATTTTCAAACAGTTTCTGCATTTAAGGGAGAGTACGGTGAGCTTATCATGTTTGATAATAATTGTCTTGCACTACCTTGTTTGCCTTCGATTTTTAGTCGCACCCAACTTATGGGAAGATCTATATTTGATTACTTCAAGGAATTCGGTCATGCTAACCTCCCATTATCGTTGTATCGATTTCCACCTGATCATTTCGGGTTCAGCTTTCCATTTGATCCTGGTTCTAGTTTGAAAGTTGGAGTCGCGCTGTGATAATTTGGAGCAATGTACTGCTCATCGGTAAAGTTGCAAGAGAACTGCCTACACCTGCTTCTAACTTGCTGATGTTAGTATGTATAGCTTCCTTAATAGCTCCAATGAGAATCCTCACAATGATATCAAATTGGTACTACTTGAACCTTGAGGACAAGGTTCTTATTGGGGCTGAAGGTATTGTTATGAATGGGCCTAGACCAGTATTGACAAAGCAGCCCAAAGCCGAATTAAAAGGCTATGTGTGGGATCCGGGTTGATAAATAGAGACTTGGGAGAGCAAAATAGGTTTATGCAAATTATGTGAAGCTTTGGCTTTCTGATCCTCTCATCTCCTTTCTATGGTCTAGAATCTCATCCCCTTCTAGTTACCTTCTTCTATGTTATCTATCTACAATTAGTGTGTTGTTACTTTGTTGTGGGTATTATACGTTGTAACTTGTATTCCGTAATAACAATATATATATCAGTGTTTGTGTTGAAAATTGAGTTTGTTACAAATAGTCCCTACTCTCTCGAAGGTCTACCTATGTATGAAGGAAAATTTGTTCAAATTGCCTAGAGATTTTGTTTCTCACCTATAATTACTTCAAGTTAATTACTTAGTATGTAAATATGCTTCTGGCTGAATGATTGGAAGTTCATTATACCTGCAAGGCTTCCTAGCGGTTGTTAAATGGGTAGAGATTCAATCGACTAGGTGACAATATTAGTACAAGTCAAAAGCTGTAAATTGAGTTGGCTGTGATAAAATCTCTCCGCATGGATAGATATGGTATGACTAATTTAGTAGAACATTAATATTCTACAATCAGTAACTTTCTTTTTTTCCTCTACCAAAAGTTCCCCAACTTTCCACAACAAAAATCTAATAATTCTAAAATTCAAAGTCAAAGCTTCACATAGAAAGTAAAAAAGATGGAAAAAATGAAGATTCTGGCGAAAGAAAACCTACCCAGGAAACATAATAGCTTAGAACTCTTATAAAAGTAAAAAGTTACCTGATAGATCTGAGCCTTGATTGCCATCTTCTTTGAATCAGACCCATCAATTCCTCTTCAGAATCACTGTGCGTGGCATCTCTTCCTCGAAATCTCGGGTGGTGACCATGATCAGCTGAACCAGAAATCTCCGAAACAACATAGTAGAAAGTAATATAGGTTGTCGGAGAGGGAGCTGTGATAGAATCTGTCATATTTTGCCATAGCTCTACGGCCATACTTGTACTTGAAGAAGACGAAGAAGACGAAACCACAATATAGCTTCCTCCAACAATTGAATGAAATTGAAAATTAATCTACACTAAAATAACAAATAACCTTGAGTTTTTTTACATCATGCTTGGATGATTACTTATATTGGATTTTGGTAATATTAGTTTAAATATAATATTTATTCATTTATTTTTAGTTACTCAAATTTTATTGTATTAGTATTTAATTTAAATGCAACATTTGTTTGATAGTTCTGTGTTGTTAGTTTACATATTGTTGTGTATTCTCATTTATCTTTATTTATTATTATTTTATCTAACTAGTGAAATTTGAAAATAAATAAATAATGCAGCAATCAAAAGTGAAAATAAGTTTTGTGGTGTTTTTCAAATTCCATGTATAACTTAAAAATGAAATGGTATCATTGTCAAACGTTGATTTTCAAATAAAAATTTTAAAAAAGTGATTTTTCTTTATTAATTTATATGTAATTTGCAGTTTCAATAGGTCAATAAATTAAGATCTTACCACAAAGGTTTCTGAACTTATTTTTCATGATTATCCTAAAAATAATAAGATAAAATAAGTTGAATATATCATTTGCATATTTTTTAGATGTACCTAAAATGTTTGCACCTTTTGTGAACTTCAACACTATATTATCATAAAGGGATAAGGGTCTGAAAATACATCAACTTTGATCAGATTTGTTGTTGCGATACTAAACTTTCATGAGGATCTATTACCTCCCTAGACTATTTAATATCGTATTTTTAAACATTATATATTTGCCCACGTGGACATAAAAAGTAATGCAAAATTATAAATAGTAATGTGTCCACGTGAGCACATATATATCTTTAAAATACACTATTAAATAATTCAGCGGATAAAAAATACGATATTAAATAGTCTAGGGAGGTAATAGGTCCTCATGAAAGTTTAGTATCGCAACAGCAAATCCGACAAAAGTTGGGGTATTTTTCAGACCTTTGTCCCTATCATAAATATATTGATGTTTAAAAAGAAAAATCTAAACTATATCATTTTGTACTTTCATACTTCAATTATTGAGCATTCTTGTAACCTCTTGAACTATTTCCTTTAGATTGAGAACTCGTCCCATTAAATATGTGACAAAATATTTGGAATACCTTGTTGAGAGACGCGTGGGAGATAAAAGAATCCTTAAAAATGAATCTACCTAACACAATGAGTCATGGTGGTTCAAGAGATCTGTTCTAATAATTTAAATATGGAACTCGCAAAACAGTCATTGAAACTCTACGGAGGAGCTTTTGAACAGTGATGTAGCATGTCATATTCCTCTCATTACGAGTTTATGGTAATTAAGAGGGGTTCTGTGAATACCGAATAGTTTAAATATGAAACTCCCAAAATAGTGATAGAAATAAGAAAAGTGAGCTTACAATGCTTGGCAATACATATGTAAATGGATACAAGTCTGTCAAAGAGAATAGACTAAAAACTTACAAAATTACAACACAGAAGTAGCATTACGCTACATGGAAGATCAGTTTATATGTCTCCCTATGCTACAAAGCTACTCTCCCTTTTGCCACCAAAAGGATAATACTTGCTGCTAGCAAACTGGATGCTGATCCACGTCCATTCAAGATGACTAGGTTTTATTATGTTTCATATACACAAAGTTTTACATATTTTACTGGATCTCAACTCATGAATCAAAACATTCTTAAAGTTGTCAAATTGCAAGAGATCTCACCTCATCCACTTTCCAGAGTTCTTCATACTTATACCACCTCATCAGCCCTTCATCATTTCGACAGCGCTGACACATGATGCATGAGTCACTCATGCAGGTTAGGAATTTGTGTAACCTAGATGCTTTTTCGAGAATTGAATCATCAAGCTTGGCCAGAATTTTCTTTGGTGCAGGTGGAGGATCTTCAGTAATTACGCAATGAGATATGTTGAGCACTTCCAACTTTTTTAACCCGTCCAAGATAGTAACCAAGGCACTTTTAGATAACAATGTGCACCTCACACTCAACACTTTCAAGTTTGGAAGAAATGATACCAGTGTAGATGCAAAGAGCATATCACAGGGCCCCATTATCTTGAGCTCAGCAAAATTTTTGCAACTCCTTGCAATTTCCTCCATGACATACGGAGGATTAGCTATACTAGGCATCGTCAGTGATTCAAGATCTTCCCACATATGAATAGCCCTGCATATTCCTGTCTTTTTTATTCTGTTCCAAGCAGGCATAACAAGACGTTTTAGACGTGGACACCTGAAAAGGAGGAGATTTAATTAGCTGTCTTCTTCGTTCTCACAGTAAACTTTGCTTCACCTGAATTAGAACAATGGAAGATCATAGGGCATCTGAGATGTCAGATGCCTGAACTCTGGAATGGTGCTTGCTGTCGGATTCTTGATTTAAGTTATAGTACTATAGAAAGATGAAGGTTTATTGGGGGAATACCTCTCGGCAGTATAAGTCAACTGATCGTCGCTGACATACAAATTGTAATGGAAGATTAATGTTCGTATGTTTCCACTACTGAGGTTCAAACAAATCTTTAGGAGGCTGGTCAATGTTTTATCAGACTGACAGTCCACATATACGTATGGCTCTAACGGAATTTTGATATAATTTGATTTTAATATCGACAAGTCCAGCGTCATCCAAAGAAGTTGATCAGAACAAGCCAATCGCCACGCACTACAAACATGAGCAAGTCCGGAAGTCAACTCAAAAAGGTCAAAAGACTGGAGTATCTTCACCAAGATATCAATATCAAGGTCCTCCCATCTCCTTACAGAAGAATCTCCTTCTTCCATCACAAAATCTTCAATCTCCTAAATGTTTGGGCATAAAAGCTCCTGTAGAAACAAGAAAGGTTATTACTTCTCAAGATCCATAAAGAATATTTGAATTCTTACGTCAAATTAATGTTGCTGATTGTCATTTTGTTTTCTTGTGAATATACTCAGACCGTGAAGCATAAAAGTTAAGCCCTGCAATACGAAGAAGCATAGAAGAATGTACAAATACATCTGAGTACTGGGATTCCCAAAAGTGAAGAAACTAGGAAAACCTGACCTGGAACTTAAGTTGGTTATAGAAAACGACAGGGAACTAAGTTCTTGCTGCCATATCTGACGGAAGTATCACATTTTGGATAAACATAGTCATTACCAAAAGCAAAATGATACAGAAGGAGGACGTAACATTGATTTGCACATAAAATTCCCTAAAGAGGGAAGTTCAATGTCCCTGGCATTCGGATAGAAAAGCAGAAGACTAGTTATATATTTTGAAGAACTAGACAAGTAACTGGGGAATGGGGCAGTGTCTGCTGAAAAAGATGCATCTGGTTTCCAGGAAACAAATAGAAGGGAATGCAAAAACTTAATACTCCATCCCTTCTATTTTTCGTGAATAGGAACGAAAATAAATTAGTTGACAAGATTTGTGTATTTAGAAAAGAGTAGTTAAAAGATAATATAGTAGTAGTTATAAGAGTTAGGTGAAAGGAAAAAACACCACGTTAAAAGTTTGACTACCATTCATTAAATGAATTCCTAAAACTTGTCAAAGGTATCTAAACAATACTAGTAAGGTACAACAATAAGTATGCCTTAATCTCAAATGTACGGTTCCTTTGTAACCATTCCGCTCTACCCGAGTTCAAATTTTCAATACTACTTTACAACAGTTTATATGGAGTGATATGGACATTAAGGATCTATATAGCCGGCCCCGACTTGCTTAAAGTTGAGTTGGAGTGTACTTCACAACAACTATGCTTCAAACCTAAACTAGTTGAGGTCGGCTATATGAACACTCAATATACATTCCGCTCCATTTGGAGCAGTTCCATTCCAATACTCAAATAACTATTAAGGATTCTCTGTTACTAAAGGTTTTCAATATTTTCTATCGAAATACAAATCAGAAATGAACTAAAAAGACTCCTGGCAAACAACATACTTAATATAAGTGTAGCAACAAAATAAACCTTAATCATAGTCATTGGAATTACCATGGTTCTTGTGCTTCATTTATAATTTGTTTTATGCTATTTTCACAAGAATATCGAGAAATTGTAGGTCCTTCGATACAACTTTGTCCATGTGATTGAATTGTTTACCTCGTCCATTAACATTCAACCATCATGATGTCACACTGGTGCATTTGAACTTCTAACATAGACATTTCCAAACTATAATTCAGTGCCTTCTTTCCTTTTAGCTTCTACATGTGCTACTTGTACCTTCTCATAATCATCACTTATTTTGTCTAGTTTTGTATGACCACACACCATCCTACCATTCACATTTTTACAACACTCATTTTTTCGATATGTCGAACCTCATACCCAACACTCACGCCATATACCATTTGGTCTCACAAATGTCTTATAAAACCTTTCTTTCACTCTGGTATGTATCTCCTTATCGCATAACACTCCTCCATTTCAACTATATGATTTAAACTTATGTGTTGGGTCTTTGTCTATCAGACTATCACACCTTTGACGTGGAAACTGAGCCTAGACATATGAACGGTCTATGTGAACTTACTTTGATAATCTCAGACCTGAATAAAGAGTGTTGTGTTAAATTAACGATCAACGTAGTACTAGTTTATCCTCATAGTAAAGGAATTAATAAGAGAAAAATGGTATTAAATATTTTGTAATGTCCCGAAATGAAGTGTCATATAAATTGGGAGAAAAAGAGTGTTGATATCAATCAAGTCTTCAACAACAGAACCAAGGATAGTTGGTAGGGGGATCTGTATATGACTAAATTCTGAATTGAAAGCTAAACTAGCAAGTAAAACTGATGGATCTTGAATCCTCTTCAAATAAAAGCTGAAAAACACAAGTACTTTTAGATTTAAACTTTGCACCTAAAAGCACAAAAAACATGTTTAAAAGAAAAAGTGAGAGGACCTAATTGAAATAGGAACGTTTTGCTTAGTCTCTGAGTATGCTATCCTGACAACTTGTCAGTGACAAGTATCAAACTTTAATAATCAATTATCCAAATTGATCTATGCATAATTCAGTAGGGATTCCCTAATTGTTCTTGAGTACTCCCTTCGTTTCTCATTTTTTGTGAAGATGTTTGACTAAGCATGACATTTACAATATTCCTTTGATATACTTAGAACTATTTAGTGGTTGAAAAGAGATATCACGTCAAAGTTAAGGAGGGAATAATTTAATACATCTTAAATTCTTAAAAACTGTGATTATAAAAATAGAATGGTTCCAAACATTTTGGGAAGTCCTAAAATGGGAAAAGAGTTGCATAAATTGGAACATAGGGAGTACAAATATTTCAGGATGCAGAATATTCTTTATTTCTCTTTTGAAAATTGGTAATTCATATTCCTAAGCATTAAGGGCTATGCTGGCCACCTCCAAGAAATTATCCAGGATGCAGAATATTCATCCCAGAAGGAGCTTAAAGAATGGATAGGAACAGAACTTAAATGAAATGGGACTTCAGTGTGGTTCTTGTCGTCTTCTAATAAACAAACTAGAGTTCTCACCAGTCACCATACAACATGTTCCTCAAAGAGGAAGTATCAAATTAAGTATAAACAATCAATTATGGAACACCAACATTACTCAAGAAATTACCAGCTCACAGACAAAATCTCTAACTCAACCCCTGCTGTTACAGCTCAAATCAATGTCAGCTACAAATTGTATTGATTCTTTGATCAAAGATATTAATTTATCACACCTTGTGTTCCCGATCAGCCATACTTATAGGATTGAAGGAAAGGATGGGTAATTAAATCAAGTAGAAGAAAATAGAAGTTGCTCCACAGCCTAAACATCAATGTGAACACTTAAGACTGCCTTTCCGCAATGTCCCCCGGACTTTGGTCTAGTGATAAGAGCATAGCAAGTATTATCTGGGTTAGGCGCACATCACAGGTTAGAAGCATGTTGCAGAAAAAACACTTGTATTTAAGTGGAGAAGGATAGAGGATCTGGGTTCATTATCCACTGGATTCCAAGCCGTGTGTCAATGGCCATCAGGAATCTTTCAGTTGTCAGAAATAACAAAATTCCTTTACGAAATGGCTTCAATCGCAAGCGTATGTGCCAAAAAGGATACTTTGAACATTAGGTTTTTAATGTAGGTCAAGAGAGTAGATCGCACACCTATAATGGACAGCAAAGATGCTGTATATCAGAGACTGATTTTGTGCTGGTATCGCTGAATTCAGAAACAAATCCTCAGGGATTTGAAAGCCTTTGGAGTAGCCAAAGGATCAGCAATAAATTGAAGCATCAAGAAGGAAACAAGTAAACAGAAGATTCCCTGCCAGCCTGGCAACGAATATCAAAAAGAAGAAAAGGTCTAGGAATTCTAGTTAGTAAAAAGCTTCAACAGAAACTTGCTAAATAGAGAGGCCCATTTAGCTTCGGTGTGTGTGTGTGTGTTCCTATGGGTTTCTTTTATCCTCTCTATCTATGGCCTATGCCAATTAGTCTTATACAGATGAATTGTGTGTATTGGTTCAGATAAATCCATTTTCTATAAAAAATCAAAAACAAAGAATTCCATGCCTTTATTGACCTGACATCAGTGAGCTAAAGATGTGTAATATCCTATCTAATAAACCTCTTCCCATTCTCACGGTCAACCTCCCGCACCTCCTCACTAGGGTATCTATGCTCCTCCTCTTCACATGCATGAATCATCTCAGTCTCGCTTCGTGCAACTTGCCCAACCACGGAGGTCACTCCCACCATGCCTCGTATATCTTCGTTCTTAATTTTGTCTCTCCTAGTATGCCCCGATATCCATCTAATCCTCCTCATTCCGCTATCTTCATCTTCTAAACGTGAGAGTTCTTGACAGGCAACACCTAACCTCATACAACATAGTTGGTCTAACTACCGCTCTATAGAACTTACCTTTAAGGCTCGGTGACACATTTTTATCACATAGGACATCGAACGCGAGCCTCTATTTCATCCACCCAGCTCCAATATTATGTGCGACATCCTTGTCGATCTTTCCATTTTCTTTGATTATAGACCCAAGATGCTTAAAGCTTCCTCTCGTGGGGGTCACTTGTGTATCGATCCTCACTTCCCCATCTCCCTTGGTGTCATGAAATTGCACCTCATGTACTCTGTTTTAGTCTTGCTCAACCTAAAGCCTTTGGACTCTAGAATGTGTATCCAAACCTCTCCATACTATGTCATCTCTTTTACAAATATCACTTTTTTCCTAGCTTCTTTCTTATCTTTTTATCTTTACCTTCAACTTTTTCCCTTTAATTTGTGAACTAGATTTCCTTTAGATAATAATAATATTATTAATCGAATTTAAAGTATGAAAACTCATTAATAACAGTTGTAAATTGAATGACATTTCTTGATGCCTTAAGTGAAACTTTCTACTTCATCCCAAAAAAAAAACTTTCCCATCAATCTCTCAAACTACTAACATGTATCTACAGAGTTTATAGGTAAGATGTCCAGAAACCCTATTTTCTCTTTTTTAGTAAAAAGAAGACAAAATAACCAAAGCACCATTTGCATTTAACACACACACAGGTAAAAAAAAATGCTAGAATAATTTTCCAAAAGAATCATCACGATAACAAAATGATAGTTTATCACAAGTAAATTAAAACCAGCCTCTACAAAGATTTAAACTTTAAGAACAAAAAATTACCCCATTTGATCATACCACACTAATAATTGAAATGCAGAAAAACAAAGAAACAAAAATCCAGACAAGCATAAATTCAGACCTGTATGAGCAAAAAAATCAAATCTTTCTGCAATTAAACTCCAGAAGATGCCAAAAAATAAGACAAGAAAGCTTCATAAGGTGTACAAACATACCCAGAACAAGTTTTGGAATCAAGATCCAACTTTGAATCAAAAATTAATTCGAAAAAACAACCTTAAAGAATGGGGAAAAAAAGAGAGAACGAGAGAGAGATTTAGGACATGCCTTTATTTAGAACATAGGTAAATTATTGGATCGTTGTTTCACTTGAGAGTGTGTACCAAAAAAAATTGGGTGAAAAATACGGGATGATAGTGTAGCTGTGATGAGGAGTGAGATTCGGATACGAGGAAATATGTGAAATGACGATAATAACCCCACGCACGGACAGGTCCTAGTTCCTACTCTTTTTGGTCGGTCTGGTAATTTAAATTCACAATCTTTAAAATTTGAGGTGTGAAATGTTTATTATTCGAGTAACTCTCTATTAGTATTATATTATAAACTTAGTTTCTGGCAGTAATTGTAAATCTTTTACATTTTATATGGAAATAGTTTAAAGTATAGCCAAATCTCTTTGATATGTGTTGTTACACATATATACTGACGATTTAGATGTTATAAATAAAAGTATGTATAAAAAAAAAATCATAGTTTTATGTTATAAATGAAAAAATATATATTAAGTTTAAAATCTCAATTATTTTTCATAATTTAATAATTAAAAATTAAAAAGACTAATACATTACTAATAAATTTATGATTAGTTATACTATACCGATAAAGAATTAAATGTAAGAAACATATGCATTTTAAATTGAAGTTTAAAATTTTCAAGTTTGACGTAAAAACTCTATAATTGTAGGTTGTTTATTTGAATAAACGAAAAAAAAAAAAAAAAAAAAATTATTTGAATAAACGAAGACTTTTTGTCCATACTTTCACCGAAAGGATATTCAATAGTTTTCTCTGGAAAATTGTCTAAAGAGCATAGCAATTGACTCTTCTATCTTACCTAAAGTAGCTTACTATGTGTATAACATTAAAGATGATTGTCATAAATATTTTAATATTTTATTTTATACATAATATATTTTTTATAAAATATTATTGCATAATATTTAAGTAATTTTTTAAAGAGTGTATTGCTATAATGAATGTCGTTGTATTAATTTTACCAATAAAATGTTGATATGGAGAAGTAAAATATAGGGAAAATTACGCGGTTAAGCAAATTTATAATATTTAATTACTCATCATAGCTATAGTTTGTTATAATTAATATTCGCGATTAACATTATACATTAATTACGTGGGTTGACTTGAGTTTGTATAATTAGCCACGTTTGTATATGTATAATTAGCCACGTTTGTATAATGCGCAGCTAACAATTCTTTGTTTGATTTGTATTTGTATACGATTGTTTGTATTTGTATATGACGATAATTTCCTTTGATTTTTCAGTTTTGTCATCATATACATTCAATCTTTTTGTGTATACCTTTTTAGAGTTTGTATAAAGTGTAGTTTTTGGATTTTGTATGATATGATTTATATAATGTAATTTGTATAATATATTTTATATAATTGTTTAAAGTTCATATATTTATATTTGTATCAAATTTTTATTTCGAGTTTTATTATATTTGTATAATTTCAGACTTTATATTACTCAATTATACAAAAACACGTGAATTATACAAACGTATCTGCGAATTATACAAATTATTGTCCTCTCTCGCTCGCCTCTCTCCTCCCTCTCCCAGTCTAGCTCGCCTCTCTCCTCCCTCTCCCAATCTCGCTCGCCTCTCTGCTCCCTCTCCCAATCTCGCTTGCCATATATACAAATGCATATGTATAATATACAATTATCTAACCGGTATACATATGCAATTCACCTCTCTTCCACTCTTTACCCTCTCTCGCTTGCCTCTCTCCTCTCTCTCCCAGTCTCGCTCGCCTCTCTCCTCCCTATAATATGTAGCTACGAATTGTAATTATCAAACTATAGCTATGGGGAGTAATTAAGCTATTTTTGAGTGGCTATATGTGAAAGTTCCTCTAAAATATAACATGGAAAATTGATTATGAAGAAAAAAAATCATACCAATATAGT